AATTCATCCTGGAAAGACAACTTTCTGTTTGGAGAGTGCAGATGGATCAAGGGGTATAGGCTATGACTTTATAGATAGACTTAAAAAGATAAACTTGATGGAGTAAATACATAGAATGTAGGTGATAAGTGCTAAAAGATTGCTCATTCAAAGTATGTTTGCAACATAACCTGTACATTCATAGCTCATATTAAACTCATAAATCATAATATGTGTTTTATAGATACTTATTTAATTATTGTATCTGTATTGTTTCTCTAATGAAATATCAATTATAAACTTCAATAATCATAAACTGTATTATAATAAATGAATGAAAGAGACAGACACAGACAGACAGACAGAAACACACACACAGCACACAAGGTAATTAAAGTGGAGATGTTAAATAATATCAATAAATAGTTAACTAGAAGAATATATTACTTTCAAAAAGGAAGAAGCAATTTTAACAATTTATTGGCAGAATTTTTTTCAGTAACTCTGATAGAAAATAAAAAAATCTATGCAGATGAAATCAAGATATAGTGATTCAAATAGTCACAGACCTGAAGTTTTCACAAGAATTTATGGTCAAGAATTTATTCATACCTTTTGTAAATAGTACTACAAAATATGAAAGGGACTCCTGATGTGTTACATTATCAGTTGTACTATTAAGACACCGGTGGTAAAATGAACCAACAAATGGACAATTAAATAATTGTCATAGTTAACATAACAACAATAACTGATTAATAATATAAAACCAACAGTATCAATATATTAACTACTGCATGCTCTATGAATCTGTTCCACCTTAACCAAATATTGGAATGTTGTTGAAGATGGGACAAGATTCACTTCTAAGAAAAAGCTGGTCCATAAGTCTAGTTTTTAAAAACCTACTGGTTTTAGTGCCCTCCTACTCTATTTTTTAAAATAGATAACTAACCAACAAAGTGCACCTGAGATAATTGTACTGGATGAATTATTCTAGTTGTAGAAGACAGTTCTGCTGGTATTTTGAAGTAGGATGGTCAGAGAGAACGTTTAGCCTAAAATCACGCCCTTGTCATCTCCCGACTGGACTACTGTAATGCTCTCTACATGGGGCTCCCCTTGAAAAGCACCCGGAGGCTCCAACTGATCCAGAATGCAGCCGCGCGGGTGGTTATGGGCGCAACTCGTGCCCACGTGACACCCCTCCTGCGCGAGCTGCTCTGGCTCCCAGTGGTCTTCCGGGTGCGATTAAAGGTGTTGGTTACCACCTTTAAAGTGCTCCATGGCATTGGACCTGGATCCCTTCGAGACCGTCTTCTGCCACCAGTAGCTTCCCACCGTCCAGTCCGCTCCCACAGAGAGGGTCACCTCAGGGTGTTATCGGCCAAATTATGTCAGCTGGCGACACCCAGGGGGAGGGCCTTCTCTTTGGGAGCCCCTGCCCTTTGGAATGAACTGCTCCCAGAAATGCGTAAGATCTCCGATCTCCGTGTATTTCACTGTGCCTTCAAAACCTTGTTGTTCCGCCAGGCTGGGCTATCAATGTAAAGATTTTAATTGGTTTTAAATATGGGATTTTAAATTTGGAGTTTTATAATTGAGCCAATTATTTAATAATTTTAATTATTTTTAAATGTTGTCTGTCTCTGTGCTTTTAATTAGGCTGTACACCGCCCTGAGTCCTTCGGGATAAGGGCAGTATAGAAACAAAATTAATAAAAATAAATAAATAATAAAAATCACTCTGTCCGTTTCCATGGCTGAGGAGACACTAGTTTAACATCTTAACTAAGGTGACCAGATTTTAACACTGGTAAAGAGGGACACCATTGTGGGCATGGCTTATTTTGTGGGCGTGGCTAGCTGGTCATGTGACTGGGTGGGCGTGGCTAGCTGGTCATATGACCGGGTGGCCATGGCTATGTGTATAGGGACTACTCAGAGGGCTGAAAAAAGTCATTTCTGACAGGTCCTCACACTTTTGACTGGTCCTCACACTTATGACCATCCTCACATTTATGCCTGTGCAGCATTCTTAACAACCATGCCACTCATTTCACAACTGCTTCTCTTCACCATGGTGATAAGATAGGCAAAAAACGTAAAATGTGAGGACAGTCGTAAGTTTGAGGACTGGTCAAAAGTGCGAGGATCAATCAAAAATAACTTTTTCAGCCCTCTGAGTAGTCCATATTCACAAAAGGACTAACCAGAGGGCTGAAAAAAGTCATTTCTGACAGGTCCTCGCACTTTTGACTGGTCCTCACACTTATGACCATCCTCACATTTATGCCCGTGCAGCATTCTTAACAACCATGTCACTCATTTCACAACTGCTTCTCTTCACCAGGTAGGGCAAAAATGTAAAATGTGAGGACAGTCGTAAGTTCGAGGACTTGTCAAAAGTGTGAGGACCAGTCAAAAATAACTTTTTCAGCCCTTTGAGTAGTCCATATGCATAAAAGGATACAGCAATAGAGAGGATGAAGGAAGGGAAGGGAAATTAGAGTAGGAGTGAGGGTAAGCGAGGGAGGAATACAGGAGGAGAAGTAGAAAGGAAGAGGAAGTAGAGAGGAGAAGAAGAGGGTGGGAGGAAAAGAAAAGAGAGAAAAGAAGGAAAGAAGGAAAGAAAAGAGAGGTGGTAGGTTTGAGGAGAAAGATGGCTGTACAGTAAAAAAAATAAACATAATGTATTTTCTTTGGACAGAATATTTGGCTGGTTCACAAATTTAAACAGTATTTAGTCATTTCAATTAAATTTACAATTTCTATATTTCCTTTTTGCCATATTTATTCCTCATCTATTTTTTTTTAAAAAAACCAATATTACCCTTCATCCTCATCTCTACTCTTAATCAAATTCAATTTTTCCCTTCTATTCTATATTATACCCCTTCCCATTGTCATCTATTTTTATATCCATCCTCACATTGGTTAATTATGTAATTATATAATACAGTTGTTTAATACAAATTCAACATTTTAATATAAATCAATTAGTTATATAACTATCTTTTTTGTATATTAATTAATATGAACATGAATATTCCAATTATTTCCATGCAATCCAATTTCTTACAAATCAATTGATTATATTTACCAATAATAATAAGCCAAATAATTTCTCCCATATATTCCTCCAAACCACAACTTAACCATTTCTGCTTTCAACACAATATACAATTAATAGTATCTCAATTATTACAATTCCCTAGTTAAATAGAGCTTTTTTTCTTTTGTGTTTTAAAATCTTGAACTCTCCTCCTAAATTTCCCATTGTTTGCAGTTTTGCACCTACCTTTTTTGGTGAGGAAAAAGAAAAAGAAATCTCTCTCTGCCTCATTTTGTCACGTTGCACCAAAGACCCTGCTTTCGCTTTTCCTTTTTCAGCATAGCCAGGGGGAAAAAAAATCTGCTCCAGGAACTCTTTACACTGATCACCTGTAGGGCGGCCCCTTGAATATTTATTTATTTATTTATTTATTTATTTATTTATTTATTTATTTATTTAGAATTTGTATACCGCCCTTCTCCCTGAGGACTCAGGGTGGTGAACAGCCAAATAAAAACATCAAATACAAATATTAAAATACAGTTAAAAATATATATATAAATTTGGCCCCATTAATTAAAACAATAAACCAAACAATTAAAAACACTTAAAAAGAATTAGGCCAGCCCGGCTTGTTGGAAAAGGAAGGTTTTAAGGGCATGGCGGAAGGCACTGAGGTCATGGATTCTCCTTATCTCAGGGGGCAACTGATTCCAGAGGGTGGGAGCCCCCACAGAGAAGGCCCTGCCCCTGGGGGTCACCAGCCTGCATTGTTTGGCTGATGGCACCCCGAGGAGGCCCTCTCTGTGGGAGCACACGGGTCGATGGGAGGTCGTCGGTGGCAGCAGGCGGTCTCGGAGATAGCTAGGCCCTATGCCATGGAGCGCTTTAAAGGTGATAACCAACACCTTGAAGCGCACCCGGAAGACCACTGGGAGCCAGTGCAGCTCGCGCAGGAGCGGTGTTACATGAAGCCCCGCGGCAAGAGTTTAAACAGTTTTTTTTCCCTCTAGCCATCAGCTGGGGCTCAGGATGCAGCCGGGACTCAGGAGGCAGAATGAAAAATCAGGACTTTTTTAAAACGCTGTGGGATGCGGGACAAATTGCTAAAAATCGGGACTGTCCTGCCAAAAGCGGGATGTCTGGTCACCTTAATCTTAACTTATATCACATCTCTGTTCCAGAAACCTATTAGCAATCAATGTATGACCTGCAACACAAGAATAATGTGTTTCTGGAAGTAAGACTCTTACAATAAGAGGGCCATTGCATTTTGTAGCACTTGCAGTTTCCATGTGGTTTTTTCTAAGCTATCCCTTTGTATAGCACAGTAGTCCTAATTAATAGTAATAAAAGTTATTAGTTACAACTGCATAGTTCTTATGGTTCAGAGGTCTGCAACTTCTACAGAAGACAATATCTTTTGTTTATTTCTATCTCTGTCTCTTTCCTGTAAATTGGATTGATAGAAAAAGGTCCCTAATGGTTTTCGAGCTCTGAAGATTTTGAAAAGAAGTTCATTCTATTTTTTTAATTTTCAAGGGTATTATATAATAAATATTTTTGCAAAGTCATTTCAGTTATTTTGCATTTTTATTTTGTCTCTGGACATTTTTATTTGAATTATATACACTGCTTATTGATGAAAAGTAAGTTCTTCCGGTAGAACTTTTTCCTCAGTTGCAGTATCCTGCTTTGAAGGCTAGAAAGACTTTTTGGTATAAAATAAACTTGATTGTAAGTTCCCTCTTTAAACTGGGTGGGTACCTTATTATAATGCTGCAATTTAGCACACTTGTATGCAAATATGTATGCAAATATTAATGAGTGAGAAAATATAAGAAATATTAGTTCAGTTCAAACACAATTTTATATAAAATTCTTCTTTTAATCTGCATTTAAATTGTAATATTTTTGTATGTAGTTTGCAAGGAAAAATAGCTTTAAAAACTAACTTTTTTTGTAGGTTAACTGAATCTTCTGGATATTTAACGGATGGGCCGATAAATTATAAATACAAAACTAAATGTACATGGTTAATTGAAGGATAGTAAGTATATTTTTAATTAATGTTGATTCTACATTGTAGCTCTTAAGAGATATCTGACAAAATGTTAAGTAAAAAAAATGGTTGAGTTTTTTATAACTTAGTTGCAAAGATTTTATGTTGATGATTTTCTAAAGAACTCTTGATGCACTAGTTATATTTCAGGGAAAAAAAGAAATTTAGTGTTGAGAATTAAATACGAAATACAGATAAGGAATATATGACTAATTCTACTTTCACAGTAGAATTGCAGTATGGCATTGCAGCTTTTCATGGTCATATCTGCCCTTGTGAGCTTAACTGGCTACGCAAATGGATATACAAAGTTACCTGCCGTGAAAAATGTCAAGCAATTCCCGATACTGTGAATTATTAGTTTATCCTAGCTGCTGTTCATAGGTGAAATCCACTTACCTTCCCTACAGGTTCACAAATGTGAGTGTGCCATGTGCATGCTCGGTTCACTTGCGCGTGCCGTCATCTGCGTATGCGCAGAGGCTTAAAATGTTGCAAAAAAGCGACGTCATGATGTCCATGCTGGTGGGCGGAGCCTCCTGCAGCCACCGCTATCAGTTCACCCAAGCTGGATAGAATCAGCTGAATTTCACCCCTGATGTTGTTGCATAATATAAGGTCTCTTTGGGCTGATAGTAGTCTGATGCTGATGTATGTTTTGCTCATTTTGTTTTCATAGTAATCAATATAGCAGTTCCAAATAACAGATATTGATTTTATTGCTGATCAGATAAAGATTTTGAAATTGGCATCTTACAAACAAAAATAATATTAGTTTTAAAAAGTGGATTATTCCTTTTTGATAAATTTCAGGCCACATTTGAATATCCAATGAATTGAGCTACCGTATTTTTCGCTCCGTAAGACACTCCTGACCATAAGACGCACTTAGGTTTAGAGGAGGAAAACAAGAAAAAAAAAATCTGCCTCTGCCTCCCAAGCGTGCATCTGGTGTTCATCTGGCTAGTGTCTTTGGAGCAAACAGAAAACAGCCTGCCTCTTCCGTGTCTGCTGCCTCTGCCGGGGAACGCTGGAGCTTTTGCCTCCAAGTAGCTGATCCGTATGGATCGGCCTTCCGGAATACTACCGATCAGTTGTTCCAGACGATGGGGATTGCTGCCGCCATTTGCTGCTGCTGCCTGTCTCCCATATTCACTCCATAAGACATACAGATATTTCCACCCACTTTTGGGAGAAAAAAAGTTAGTCTTATGGAGCAAAAAATTACGGTAAATTGTTTTATATAATAGCCTAATCTCATCCTCAGTGCATTATCTAAATTTAAGCTAAATTAAGTTTAAGCAAATGTGTCATAATAAAGTATAGTTTGCTGTACACGGTGAAGAAAGAGTGTAAGAGTAAGGAAAGACCATGTAGGTAAAGAGCCTGTTTGACAGATATTCCTATGTCTGAACCAGAAAATAGTTTTTAGTTCCACAGGTTCAGATTAGAGTTTCTCATTTGCAGTGAAATACATGTCTAAAATTTATGTAATAGTTGCATCCACATATATATACACACATATTACAACTTTTAAAAATGTGTAATCATAAAATCAACAACTCTTGCCTTTAATACAGTACTGACATGCTTATATGTACATTTCGTTATAAAATGTGTCATTTTTAAGTGCTGTTTCTTGCTTTTCTCTTCTAGCCCGAATTCAGTTTTAAGATTACGATTTAATCATTTTGCAACAGAATGTAGTTGGGATCATATGTATGTTTATGATGGAGATTCAATATATGCACCTTTAATAGCTGTATTTAGGTGAGTATTTCAGCTTAATAGCTTTTATTACAGTGTTATAAAATATGCATTAAATATAAGTTTTAGACTGAATTTCAGTATATAGTTCCCTCTCTGTTGCCTTTTTAAAGATCTTTCTTTTAACCATTTCAGCATGCTCTACTTTGAACCATGTTTAGTAAACCCATAATTTTTAAATTTTGCCCTGATTTTCTTGAATATTGAGAAAAGAAGGAAGGAAGGAGGGAAGGAAGGAAGGAAGGAAGGAAAAAGAAAGACAATTTTTTCTGTCTGGGATGGAAGACAAACTCCTCCTGTTTCACCTCGTAAAAAAATGAAAACAATAAGGTTTTACTCATTTACTTGTTAGCTTATTAAAAAAGGGTAGAGGAACAGGTTTACTGGTTAAAGACTTTTCAGAATGAGATAGTAGATCAGGGAAAAATTGCTACAGAGAACAAAAATGTAGCTAGAATAGTATAGCAGGTGAACCAGACAGTATTGCTAGTGTTGCTATTGCAGAAAAATTAGAAAATATCCTTCTGGAGTTGTAGCAAGAAAAGAATGTGGTCGTTGTTTTTTTCATGGACCAGATAAAGGTGGAAAAGAATATGGGATATTCCTATTGAAAAGACTTAGTGGCAGCTTGGGTATTTAGACCACACTTAAGCCAATCTGTACAAGAATTATGTCTACATTGTAAACCTGAATCTTTAAAATAATACATATGTTTAAAAGTTGCTTCTGTGCACTGATTTGAATTTTTAATTTTTTAAAAACTGAAATATTGCCTTTATACATTTTGACTGAATTATTTTTATGGCAATCATTTCTAGAAATGATTTTCAGAGTTCTCTTATTTTAAACAGTATTGTATAAAAATCAGACTTTTTTTTTTTAAAAAAATCAAAATCATTTAGAAATGCTGACTAATTCAGTATGCAAATATTTATATATCTCACTGTGTCTTGTTTTACACATTACAATGAAATGCAATTTTATAACGCTTCCAAATTATGCTAAGAACTCATATGATTTGTTCAAATCCCCAGCTTTTCATTGTTTATTAATAATACACATGTCTTACGTTTAAAATTCTGCAGTGGTCTTATAGTTCCAGAAGTGCATGGAAATGAAACTGTACCTGAAGTAGTAACTACATCTGGCTATGCACTGCTACACTTTTTTAGTGATGCTGCTTATAATCTAACAGGATTTAATATTTTTTACTCGTAAGTATTTCTTATCAATTATGTTTCTGTTAATTAATTGGCAATGTATTTCTTTTAGTAAGGAAGACCTGGAGCTTAAAACATTTGAAGTAAGCTTATGAAAACTTGATTTTGAGAAGTCTGTATGTAACACACATACAGGTTGAAAAATATTAACGAAGAGGAATTCCATCAATAGTCAATAGTTCTTTAAAGCAGTGGTCCCCAGACTTTGCAGCTTGGCAGACCAGCTGGGGAGAGGAGAAGACAACTGGGCTGCATGAGCCACAAACGTTGGACACCACTGCTTTATTCGGCCCATTTCTGAATAGCCACAGCCTGGTAGTGGGCCACAATCTGGACATTAGGGGCACCTACTTTAAAGGATACTTAATAATTACTGTGTTTAATGCATTTGTTATTGCAGGTAGTCCTTGCTTAACGATGGTAGTTGGGATTGGAAATGCATTTGCTAAGTGACCCAACTGTAAAGCATGATACTTTGTGACTGCACTAATTTACAACAGCAATTGTGGCAGTTTTGGTTGCTGCATTTAAACAAATATTACATGGTCACTAGCATGACATCACAGCGCCATTTACAATCTCCTGCCTGTCATGGACCTTGTTAAAAGTTGGCAATGAAGTCACAAGTGGTGATCATTTGACTCTGTTCTCCTGTGATGTTGTAATTGCAAACCACCCAAATTGTGAAGAAATGACTGTGGAGATGCTTAATGGTTGCAGCTACAAGGACTGTTCATAAGTTTCCTTGTTCAGCATTGTCATATCTAGGAATGGTCACTGAATGAGTGATTGCTGAATGAGGACTACCTGTGTTTGTTAGTGTGTGAAGTTTTATTTCAAAAAAGATAGATTGGAAAAATGTTTTATGAGACAATAATCTCAGCATAACCTGTTTAAGGAAAAGTATAGATTTTTTTTTGTCTGTGTATTGGTCTCTGTCTTTCTATTTTACTGTTCATATTTACAAAAACAGACACATATATACATAATCATTTACTCATTTGGCTGGATTGGCCTTTCTAAATGAGACATCTAGAAACAAATTTCTTGGACTTAGAGGCTAAATTTTTATAGAAGTAAAGCATGACAGCATTGATCCATAGAGAGCTGAAAATTGTGCCATTGACCCCCAGACTTCAAAAGTTGTAAAAGCAAACTTCATGTGAAAACTTTCTGATTTCTGATATTTTTTCTTACACATTCACTTCTCTTGGAATATTTTGCTTTTTTTATGAAACTGAAAAGTTAGATTTCATTTATTAATATTTCATATTTATTAACAGCCCATCTTTCTTGGAAATTACATATATTTGGCTTTTAGCATACAAAATGTAATAACTTTCATAGTTGTGTCTGCGATTGATAAACAGAATGCTCCCAAAGGCCAAAATAGTTAGCTTTTCTGTTTGATCCCCTCCCCCCATATCCATTTTGTGAATATTTTATTTTAGAAACCTGGTACTAAAAATAATACATTGGGAAATCAAATCTCTATGTGATCCTACTTGTGTTTCTTTTGCTACAGTGGAATAGAAATGCTAAAATCTTACAAAATTGGAATGATAACAGAAGATAGTATTTTCAACCTGTTGTTGTTCTTGACTTATTTCTACTGCATAGATGTGTCGTAGGCTAATAAATTATTATGGGAGAATAAAAATACAGTGCATGAACATCTTGTCACTGATTTTTTTTTTTTTGCTTTAATTTATATGCTGCCCTTCTCCCGAGACTCAGGGCGGCTTACAATGCGTTAAGCAATAGCCTTCATACTTTTGTATATTTATACAAAGTCAGCTTATTGCCCCCACAATCTGGGTCCTCATTTCTGGTTTTGTTAATTTCAAATAGTAATCTGGAGGTTGATGTTTGTAATTAAAAATTACTTATATAAAATAAAAAAAAATAACTTGAATGTATACATAATGGCTATTTTTCTTTGGTGGTGTATCAACTCATTTCATCTGATATTGTTCATTATAGAATTAATTCATGTCCGAATAACTGCTCAGGGCATGGGAAATGCACAACTAGTGGCTCGATACCAAGCCAAGTATATTGTGATTGTGACAAGTATTGGAAAGGAGAAGCCTGTGATATCCCTTATTGTAAAGCTAACTGTGGAAGTCCTGATCACGGCTACTGTGATTTAACAGGAGAAAAACTCTGTGTCTGCAATGATAGTTGGCAAGGTAAGTTAACATTTTTGCTAAAAGCTACGGCATGTATTTCGTGATAGGTGAAACATGTCTGGTCTGTCTGTCTGTCCGTCTGTCCAAGTTAGGACTATATCCTTTAATTAGGATATTAAAATAGCAATGAATATACTACAGCTGGTTGTCTAATTTACCTTCTCTTAATTGATGGCCCCCACTTCATCTATTGATCATTATCTCAGAACATTACAAGTTCTGGCTTCAAAGACTGATGTACTTAGTTGTTGAGGATTATACAGGTATTCTGATTGGGCTTATTATCAGGGGATGTCTTATTTTTGGGGCAACAGGGTACATACAAACAAAGTGATAGGAGATATATCATAAATCATAGTTGAAATCATTAATCATAAGATACCACAAATGATAATCATAGATACCAATAGGAAAAGATAGTAGGAAAGATGAGAAGATAAGAAAGATGAGGAGCTGAGAAGGGTAATAGCAATACAGCCTACTACATAGATAACTCTCTTAGGCCTAAGACAGTGCTGTGGGAATTAGGTATTCAGCAGAATGATGGCACAGGGGGAAAAACCTGTGTGACTAATTGTTTTATGCCCTATAGTAGCATCCAGAGGGGAGGCTGAAATAGCTTATGTCCAGGATGTGAGGGATCTGTAGATATTTTCTCAGCCCTTTTTCTGGTTCATGCAGTGTACAGGTCCTCAATGGAAGGCAAGCTGGTTGCAATTGTTTTTTCTGCAGTTCTAACTATCCGTTGAAATCTGTCCTGTCCTGTCTGGATGCCATTTAAATATTGCCATTTTAATTGTAATAACATCCAGCCAACCTTAGCTAGCCTATTAATCAGAATTTATTGGGTGCTTTGTCAGAAATTTTACTGAAATTATGCTACCGAATTCCATATTATGATATGAACAGTTACTCTGTTAAAAATAAAATTAGTTCAGTAGGGCTTGCTCTTGACCACGCTGGATGGTCACGCTGGGTAATCACTAATCTTTAAAAAATGATTATATTTTTATGATTTGTTCTGGAATATTAATTGATTTATTTCTTCCATAATCATCCTTTTTGATCTTAGGAACAATATTTCTTTTCCTCCAGTCTTCTGGCATTTCTCCAGTTTTCTGAAATATAAGTTTTCAAATAATACTATTCAAATAATGCTATTTAAAACAGTCCTCAAACAACACCTGATAAAGTACATAAAATTTTAACAATTCCATCAATACCATAGAGATGCAATTCATACAATTCTTGAGATCTAAATCTTGTTTTTGTCATGTTTCAATCCTGTCAGTTCATGCTTTTTTTCCCAGTGTAATAAATAAAAATACCTTGCTGAGAGAAAGGACATACTAAAAACAATGGAGAGCAAGGCTGTTGAATTCTTTCCAAGCCTTTTACCAAGGGTGGCAAAGAAAATATATGTATTTTCTTTAGTGTAATGAAGTAGTAGAGACTTTCTTTACCACTTCAAGTAGTTGCATATGTATTGCCTCTATATGGCTTTTACTGTTCCATTATGTTGTGTATGTATATTTTTGTGTATATGCATGCAGTGGAAAGCATGAAACAGGCTTCATATACTCTGTTATGAACTATGGACAGGTTCACACATAATGGAGTTTGGATTTTGACTGATCATGATCTGTGAACTCAGCAAAGAGGAGTTATAAAGAGGAGCAAACATAATGGATTCAAGATTTCTAGAATTATAGGATTAATGGCTTATGTGGATAATGGTAGAAAAGAGCCTTGGAAATGTAAATTGTGTTGATGATAATCAGTTTCATGCTTTGGAAGGAAATTGTACTTTATATAACCAAGTGTATCTGGTTTTGCTTTTTAAGGATGTAATAATTTTAGATGCTGCAGTGACATTTATTGAAGTTAAACATTTTTGAAGTCTGGAGACCATAAAATACTTTCTTGCCAACATTCATCTGTTTCAATTAAAGACGAGTGAAAATAAATTTGTATTTTTATTGCTGTTCAGGTTTCTAGCCCCTATGAAATCAATCCATGGACCCCAGGTTAAGAACTCCTGCTTTACATAATTTATATCAATATTCTCTTGGATTGGAAAGAATAAAAAGAAATTGAGTATATAACAAATACTTAATAACAAAACCATAAACTTTCAACCATTCCTAATTGTGAACAGCTGAATATAGATTCCAAATATAGCATAGGAAACATGGTATTCTTTAACAGTTTTAGAGATCAACAGGGACTGCAACCTAGTTAGCAATCTTATTATGTCAGCAGAAAAATGGGTAAATAGCTAATTATATTTGAAAATGTTTATGAAAGCTTATTTCTCTATATCTAATAGGGACATATGATGAAAACACATTTTATTGTAGCACTTTATTTCTTGTGTGAGAGGTAGCATGTTCTCTTTTGAGATTTACAAGTTGGAAAAAATATGTGGCACGCCATATGAAGCAATGAGGAAGACAAATCTGCTCCTGTCATACTATTTGCTGCTTAAAAAGGGGAAACAATTTACAACTTTCTTTTAATGAGTGATTCACAAACATCTCCCATCAAAATGAAGTATTCCTCTGATGCTCATATGGCTCTCAAAACTAGGTAATAGCTGAGTTCATCAGCTCACAAAGCACTAATACAATTTTATTTGGTTTTGTTTATTTATTTATTTATTTTATTTATTTATTAAATTTATATACCGCCCTATTCCCGAAGGACTCAGGGCGGTGAACAGCCATAAAATAAAACATGTAGATACAAAATTTAAAATAGAGATAAAACTAATTAAATAAATTTGGCTGAGACATTTTAAAACCCCAATAAATTAAAACCAAATTTAAAATTCCATTTAAAAAGAGGAAAAGTTTAGGTCAGGCCAGCTTGATGGAATAAAAACGTCTTAAGCGCGCGACGGAAGGTACGCAGATCCGGAATCCTCCGTATCTCCGGGGGGAGCTCGTTCCAGATCGTAGGTGCCCCCACAGAGAAGGCTCTCCCCCTGGGGGCCGCCAGTCGACATTGTTTGGCCGACGGCACCCGGAGGAGCCCCTCTCTATGGGAGCGTACTGGTCGGTGGGAGGCTATTGGTGGCAGCAGGCTGTCTATTTAAACAAACCAGCCAATAGACATTGTTTAAAATGGCTGATTTTGATTCATCTTTGTATGAATCCAGCACTGATAGCATTCATAAGGAAATTACTATTGGAAAGAAGGCATAATGAGGGAAAATATACCCTACGGTATGGATAGATTCACACAGTGGAGTTTGGGTTTTGTCTGACCATGATCTGATCTGAAGTAAGCTTTTGTGATTTGTAAACTATGGTCAATGCCATTATAAAGTCATCACATTCTTTCTTTCCCACATTGGCACCTGAGAAATGCTTTCATATACCTTGCTATTTGAAGGGAATTCTTTACAGTTTGAAAGGGAATTGGAAGGAATTGATAAACATGTTTCAGAATTACTGTCAAGGGAGATTGGGCTGTTTGAAATACTTTTTTTTTGTTTTTGAGCAGGGGTTTTTGGGTAAAGACTTTTTTTGGTGTGTGTGTATGTGGCAAAACATTTTCTAGAGCCCTTCATGCACACTATCTGAGTAATGCTTATTCATTAGATTGATACTGTAGATCTTGGATGCTTGTAACTGACAAACTGATTTATTTTATATTTAAGTGTTACACTGTATTTTAAATGAACCTCATTTGAGCTGATGGAAATTTGACATACTGAAGATAAATGCATTTCAACTCTCAGTCCTGCAAACTGATATGAACACAAAACTATTTTAGAAAAATAGTGAAATAATAGACCAAAGAGATTTGCTCCAGTCAATCAAAAGAAGTATTGGAACCAAAACACCCCCCAATATCATGAATAGGTACCATGTTCATAAGAACACCACAAGATGTTAAAGATATACCGGTAGTCATCAGCTACTTCTTTTCCTTCTTTACACACAGGAATTTTTATCTTCTTTTATTTGGGAGGAGGAGGTTTAATGCTTTCTTTCCCAGCTCATTTTTCTCCTTCACCCTGCTATGGCTATGTCTTAAACAAACAAACAAACAAAAGGCATCAATGGCATTGTAATTGCTACCTGAGGTATGGTTTTACTGGTATAATTCATAAATTAGTTTAGAAGATTGCCTTGATCACAATTTGAACTGTGGTTTATAGAAAGTTAGCAGAAACATAGCAAGTTGTCTGGAAGTATAAATTCATTCCCTTTTGTCTTTTAGATAGATAACTGTTTTCACACTACTATGTGACATTTATTGTTATTTCATTGCTGTGAGGGTTGAACAAGAAGTAATGCTTCCATCTCCATAATGTTAGTTTAAATAGGTATATTTTAATAAATGAAACAGGAAAATAATCCTTGAAATAAGTTCTTTTGTTACTGCATTTAATTCTCCACATAATCACCACCATTTGCTACATGCTTCCAACGTTTGGACAGCTTCTTAAAGCTGTCACAAAAAAACTCCATACTTTGTCCCTTCAACCAGGTCCTGACAGTTTTTTCCACCTCCTCATTTGGGTGAAACAAATGCCATGAAGATATTCCCTCAATGTTGGGAGAAGGTGGAAGTCATATGATGCCAAGTGTGAACTGTATGATGGATGGGGTAAGACAATGAGTTCCAAATTCACAATAGCCTCTTGGGTGCCTCATGAGTATGAGGCCCAGAGTTGTCTTGTTGCAGCAAAATTTCCTTTCTGTTATTTCAAACTCTAGTTAATAATTATTTAAAATCTTTGGTATTACAGTGTAGCACTTAGGCAGGTTCAAAGAAATCTGTGTGAATAATGTCATTTATGACCCCAAGGAATGTAAGCCCAAGTCTTCCTGCTGAAGACTAGGTTTTGAATTTTATTGTGCAGGTAAAACTTTGTGATAATATTTCATGCTCATACTTTGTTTCTAAGACACTGATGAAGCCATGTTTCATCAGCTGTCATTTCTTCATGTGAAGCTGTGAAAAAAAATTATTACCTTCATTCTTGT